ACATTGCAGGTGGGAATTAAAATAGTGCAGCTCCTGGAGAAAACAGTCAGGCAGTTCCTCAAAAAGTAAAATATACAGTTACCATGTGACCCAGAAATCCCAGTCCTAGGTATATACCCAAGAAAAATGAAAATATATATATATGGCCATTCAAAAATTTGTATACAAATGGTCATAGTAACATTATTCATAATAGTCAAAAGGAAGAAAAAACTCAAACATTCCATCAGCTGAAGAATAGATAAACAACATGTGGTGTGACCATATAATGGAGTATTATCAGCAATAAAAAGAAATGAAACATTGATACACGTTACTACCTGGATGAACCTTGAAAATATTACACTAAGTGAAAGAAGCCAGTCACGAAAAACTACATGGGGTATGATTCCATTTATGAAATGTCCAGAATATGCAAATCTAATAAATACAAAGTAGATTAGTGGTTGTCAGGGGCTGGGAGGTTTGTGAGAAATGGGAGAGACAGCTAATGTGCTTGAAGTTTCTTTGGGGATGATGAAAGTGTTATGAAGTTGATTGTGGTGACGGTTGCACAATTCTGTGAACTGCACACCACTGAACTGTATATTTTAAATGGGTAAATTATATGATAAGTGAATTATATCTCAATAAAGCTGTTAAATGGTAATAGAGCCCTGGCCAGGTAGCTAAGTGGTTAGGACGTCATCCCAATACATCAAGGTTGCAGGTTCAAACCCTGGTTAGGGCACACACAAGAATTGACAAATGAGTACTAAGTGGAGCAATCAATAAGTGGGGCAATAAGTCAATGCTTCTCTCTCTCTAAAAATCAATTTTTAAAACACGTTAATAGCAGTAATGTTTGGGTAGTAGGATTATAGGAAGTTTTGTTTTAATTTAGATTTATCTTTGCTTTCTAACTTTTCTACAATGAGTATGATTATTTTCAGGGATTAAACAAATCTTCCCATGCTGTCATACAAAAATTTTCCCATGTTATCATTCAGAAAGCACTAAACACATACAAGATTTGAAAAAGGTAACACGCCTTTCGTGATAGTGGAAAAACTGCAAACAATCCATATGACCTCAGCAGGGTGATCACCAGGCAAAGCACAGCTTGCCACCACGTCTACCTGCCTGGTGCCCCAACCAGGGGCTGGGCACAGGAAGCTCAAACACTTTGGGAATGGGTGATAGTTTACTAAAGTGCTACTAAAAGTGACAAATGCTAGGGTGTACTCAGAACATTTTCTAACAGGTTTTATGGTAAACATTCCATGAAAAAAATGAGCACAAAGATAAACACAGGTTTTTACACTGTTGTATTTGTGTGTTTGTATATGAACAAGGATCATAAGATAATCAGAAGCGATACAGTGTAAATGTAACTTAAATTTTTAAAAAAATGAAACAAGGAGCTTATGATCACCTTTTAAAGTCCTACTTTTCCCAATCTGTATCTCGTTAGTCTCATTTAAATACCTCTGAGAGTGTGTTGCTTTGTGGCAGGCCAGCAAACATGGGATATAGACAAAGATAAAGGTAGAAAAAAAATCGCCAGCCCCTGGAAAATACATTCAACCAGCATGTTTCTTATTCATGGACCATGATTCACCGCCCCTGCTTTTTAAGCCAGTATCACATTCTAATCATATTGCTAGGTTACAGGCCCCGAGTTATACATGCATAATAAAAATGTAATCCATTAAAATGATACATTAGGCTTTCCTCCCCTATATCATCTCTTTAGGGACAACATTTGCTCATTATAAAACATCCATGATATTGAACTGAAAGATTATTTTGGATCCCCAAACCAAAGAGGTTTCCAATGATTCTTCAACCAGAAAAACAGAGTCATGGAGTCAGACTCTGAGAAGGCAAATGACTCTATCCCCCAGGCCCATGCAGGTGGTGCTATTCTGCCCAGATGCAGAGAAACCTTTGCGCAGCTCTATTCTGGAATGTGGTCTACCACTGAACTCTCCCAAAAGGACCTCCCCTACACATTTTCTCCTGGGCTCTAAGAAACCATGCTACTGTGGAAAGCCCGGTGGGCAGGCGAGTTAATGGAATAACACACAGACACGCGCACAACTAGTCTCATTTCATGATTAGCAGCCCTGATAACACGAAACATTCTTCCTGTGGCCTCAGCATAAACACTTGCCGTCTCCTATTAGGATAACTCACACAGGTGATCACCATGAGAATACATAATGAGCAAGGACATTTCGAGTTAAGGCCCATGTCTCAGATGATAGTTTCGGTGTGTTTCCATACACACACGGTCCTCAATCATCAGTGACATTTTTTATTCTGCTCCACAACCAAACACTGGTTCCAATCACTATGTCGTACACCTGAAACTAATACTGTATGTCAACTGTAATTGAAAAAAAATTTCATTTAATTGGCTGAATAAACTAACTGTATATATTATAACTGAAGGAATTATTTTGCCGCACGTGCCCCAGAACTCCTTAGCACTTGAGAGAAGGGGCCCTCAACACGGTAAGATGAGGACTACACGACAGTGATGCTATGACACAAACCAACATTAAGTACAAGATCCGGGCCTGGGAAGGAGGGGAACACTCCCTGACTGAATAAGCACATTTGGGATTAACAACCTCAAATCCTTAATCACACTGATGTTATTGCATTTTTGATCTGGTAGCCTCGAGTTGCAGCCCACGATGAGTTAATGTCTGGCTCAAGGAGACACACATTGAAAGAAAATCACAGTATTGCCTCCAATACTGTAGTTATTTCATCAATCAAAAAGAAACAGCCCTGACTGATGTAACTCAGTGGATTGAGCGCGGGCTGCAAACCAAAGGATCGCAGGTTCGATTCCCAATCAGGGCACATGCCTGGGTTGCGGGCCAGGTCCCCTTCGGGGGGCCAAGTGAGAGGCAACCACACATTGATGTTTCTCCCCCTCTCTTTCTCCCTCCCTTCCCCTCTCTCTAAAAATAAATAAAATCTTAAAGAAAGAAAGGAGCAGCATAAAAAAAAGTGTTCCTTGCAGACATACAGTATAAAAAAGACAGAGTAAAAAGCACCTGTGTAGGGGGGGAGGGTAAGGAGAATAAATTTACAATATCATCTATGATGTGTAAGGTGACTCCAGGAGTGTTAGTGTTAGCTGTCCCCGTTGCATATAGGGGCAAACAGAGTCTCTAAGAAGTAAAATAACTTGCCCAAGGACAAAACTAGCAAGTGACCAGTCAGAACTCATGTTTGTTTAATTTTACAGCCCGTGCATTCTACACAACATCACTGCCACCTAGTTTAACTGCACACTTTGCAAAGGGTTCCATTTAGAGTTTTCAAGTAAGAATTCTCACTATGTTTAGGGATTGAAATTTTTACTGAAGTGAATTCTGACCTTTTACCTAAAAAAGTAGTTACACTAAAACATAACCTTTTGATAAGGGTCTGGAATATTTTACCATGAACTCTGAGAAGTTTTTAGATTTCCAAATACAATTTGCAAATATTTACATGAACTGAAACTATATTACCAACTAAAGCTAAATAGTTATTTTTAGCTGTTTAAGCCTAAGTTTTTCAATAACTAAAACACTAGACTCCACTGATAGAACAGCATGGAAATAGGTGGCAAAGAAAACCATATACACCTTGGCCTTCATTATTCGAAATGATCAATTTCCACGCCATACATATGGTCCTTCCGTTTATAATCTTATTTGTGATCAGATGCCAGGCAACAGTTAACCAATCCTAGATGTGGCATTCAAGTTCAAAATCCGACCCTAGTTGTGAAAGTGGATTTTTTTAAATTAGAAGAAAAAATTAACTTACACAAGTTCTGTTGTGAAATGTGCACAAATTTTCTTAAAAAAAAAAAAAAGAATGTGAAAAGGGTAACCTTATATATTCTTCCAGCTGTTTCCAAATCCTTGTTACTCCAAGAGCATGTAGTATTATTTATCTAAAATGCATAATCTCCAACGAGTTCATGCTGTGGCACTCAGGTATACATATGTTAATTTTCCACCGGGACACCTGGCACATGATATCCATATTAAAGAGCACACAGTGGGGGTCATTAAACAGAACTTGCACCAATATACCCTACCCACATCCTGAATGATACGTTTTCTTTTTTTAAAAACACTTACTAGTTTAGTTCCTTCCAACCAGAAGAAAAAAAAACCTAAGTCTGTCCACAAAATGTCCTCCCAGCCATGGTGCCCAAATCCACAGCCAGAGTTGAAGGTCTTAAACAGTTAAGTAAATGTAAACCAGGAGCTTCTCTAAAAATAATTTAAAAAAAAAAAAAAAAAAAAGATGAGCGACGTTTCGGACAGCCCCACAGTGTTCTCACATAAGGAGGCAGTCTTTTATTTAAAGTTTTGAAGCAGCTTCACCGCTGTCCCATATGGAGTCTTAAAAAGAGTCCAATTCCCACAGCTTTAACTTGTTTAACGAAATCTTGGTGTACACAATACCAAAAACGTAAGACAGGTAAGCAGGATCAACTCTTGGGTAAAAATGCTTACTATCTTCTGACTGCATTCGTTCCCCAAAGTTCTCTCACATTAAAAGTTCCCACCAGGACCGTAAACGTAAAGACATTCCTTAGCCCCTCGGTAACAGGGCCCTTTCAGTCCTTTCTCCACTGCCACCGCCAGGCAGAGCCCGCGCCCACCTATGTGGAAGGTCCGGCAGGTGGCCTTCTGGAGACCCCGAAGTGCCGCCAGGGCGACACAAAGTTGGGCACAAGGCTGGCCCGGAGAGGCACTGCTCGTGACAGCCGCGCTGGCCAGCAAGGCCCTTCGGGTGGCGTGCGCCTCGGCGGGGCCGGCCACGGCCGTCACTCCGGCCAGCCAGAAGGCGTTCGCTCCCCGCCGGGCGCCTCCTCCTACGCCCGGCCGGAGTCTCAGCCGGGGCGCATGGGACCTCAAGACGCCGCCGATGAGCTACCGGCTGGAGCCCGGCGTGCCCAGAGATGTCCCCCCACCCCACAATTCCCGGTCACTCACCCTGGGGCCGGGCAGCAGAAGCGCCAGCAGCAGTAGCAGCAGCCGGGTCGGCATGGCGAGAACTCTGCCCCTGCTCCGGTCCCGGCCAGCCGGCTCTGGGGGGCGGTGCGAGCAGGCGGAGGACGGGAGGGGGTGGAGGCCGCGACAACAGCGCGGCGGTGGCCGGGATTCAGTGAACGCAAAGCAAACTAGGCGGTGTCGGCACCCCCATTCCCGACCCTTTAAGCGCCGGCTGCGGGCAGTTCTTCCGGTCAGGGCGGGGCCAAGGGCGGGGCCAGCGTACGCGAGAACCCAAGACTGGGCGGGGGCGCGGCTACCGTGGTGGGCGGGGCCATGGGAGGGGCCTAGGACGGGACGGGTCTCCGGCTGGCCCAGGTCCGGCGGCCGCCCCTGCTGGACATAACCTGGCCTAGGCGTCTGGCGTCTAGGGAAGCCGAGCGATCGAGTCTAGGAGTTTAACCGAGTGCGGGGGAAGGCCGGCAGCCCAGGCACGCTGGCGCATCCCGTCCCCCTGAAGGTCCCACTAACCCCTCTGAGAGACCCACTGCGTCAGATTTGTCAGGGGAAAGGCCAGGAGACTGGCGATGCCGGCCGCCCAGAGCCCCCGCTTCGTCTTCCCACTGTGATGGAATCATGTGCGACCCCCGGAGTGAGGGACATGGGCTGACGGAGGATCCCTGCAAACACAGCTCTTCTGCCCTGCGCCCAGCAGTCGCCTAGTCCGCAGCCCTGGGGTCTGCCAGTTGTGAACCAGCTAGTCTGAAGGCCCCCCGCCTGTTGTTTTTTTTTTTTGGTCCTCAAGAATTCCCCTCAAAGCATGTCCAACAGCCATCAGTTCCTTTTGGAATGAACGACAGCCAAATCATTTGCCAAAAATTATAAACAAAAAAGGAAACCATTTCGGCTGCTGGTGTCATGGTTTTTACGTGGCATCTGTACATGTGACCTCCTGTTGGGCTGACATGTGTCACAACTCATTGGAGGGAGTGAGTGTGCTAAGGTCTCAGACGAGGTCTATTTGAGGGTTGTGGGCTATTAGAGAGCCCAGGAGCTGTTTGGTCACAGGGTCCCACGCTGCCCTCCACTTAGATGGAAGAGAGGACAGAGGACATATTGTTTGAAATGAGTAAACTAGGATTCAGACCACAACGCTGATAGATCCTAGGAGAAAAAAGGTGGGGGGGGGGAGCGGATAGCAACTTCTCTAGTATTTCCTGACTTGCTCATAATACAATGTAAGATTTTTCAAGGTTTGGGGAAAAGAATAAGCAATGCTAAAGAAAATAGCAAAGGAGTAGTGGGGGTACTGACCCAATATCTGGTCTGTGTGCACTATGGATCAATCCTGTGCAATTGTAACACAAATGTTTGCAGTAAGCCAAAGTCCTGTAAGCAGAGTTCCCTATTCCCAACACCCCGTATGCCAGGGCACAAAGGACTAATCCCTCCCTACAAATGCTGGAGAATCCAACATAGCAGCTCCAGAGCAGTGCGAATCTTGGCAACTGTGAAAGTGGCAGACACATTTTGAAAAGTGTAATCTGCATATTTAAATGCAAACAGAGAGGTTTGGAATGGGTGGAGAGATGGGTTAAAACGGAGGCCATATCACTGCTGAGCAGTGTGGCCATGTGCCCAGGCAGGAGCCCTTTAATGATGACCTGGCCAGCTTGCAAGCTGACAACAGGATCTGGAAGACCCCCTGAGTTGGAAGGGAAGCTGGACTGGAAATTGCATCCCTTTCTTTCCCTTCCTGGGAAACTTTCACATCCCTTCTCTGGACCTTTTTCTCAAACAGAGTTAAGTCTAGGAGAGGAACTTTCTGTGCTGAAACTGTGGCAGCCCTTTGACAATGTAAAATGTCACTGTGACCTTGTAAGCACCAGCGGATGAAACACAAAGGGTAATGCTTACCTCGACTGACTCATAAATCAGTTTTAAAGGTCCAATAAAGAAGAAGAAGAAAAAACCATTCCAAGGAGCCTGGATCAGGTAGGTATATTTATCTTGTACTCAGCTGGACCAAACCTCCAGACCGTAACTGCTCCATTGTATGTTCTCAGAATTCCTTATGCACCAGTTGGGTTGTTCTTACATTTAATCAGTTGACATGTTTTATGCAGTTCACTTGACTGGCAACTCGTACTGATAAGCTTTGGTTTTATTTATGGAAACATTGTCCACAGCCAGGCATTGCTTAGACAGTTTTTCTTTCGCTTATGAAAAATTAAAAACTGGCATTATTGATAAATATAAACAGAAATGAAAACATTTTGTAGGGTGCTTTTGGGCAGTAGGGGTGCCCATATTAAAGACCTTTCTGGAAGTTGCATTAAATGACAACCTCTAGCAGGGCAATGGTCATGGTCTTAATGTAAAGATAAACCCTCTTTTTTGCACCAAGGTAGTAAAAAATAAATAAAAATATAAACATATACATCACCAGGACCTGAACAGTATATCTGGACCATAAGTAGTGGGAAAGATTTAGTTAAAATCTTATTTTCACTTCTCTCTGCAACAGTGGTTCCCAAATTTGGAGAGTTTTTAAAAAACTGATTTGTAACACCTTTTTGTGCGCTCTTCCCTCACTGATTCAGAATCTCTAGGGACGGTGTCCAAAGACCGTGTTTTCTAGTTTGTGCAGGTGACTCAGGGCACCCAAGAATCTGGGATCCAGCGTACTCACAATGTCCAGTATTAACCCCTGGGGCCAGGGCAGCCTTTTATTTTAGCAAATGTCGCCCTCTAGTGGAACAAATTATGACCTAGCCTTGCTTATGCCTCGTTTCTGTTTAACACCCTTCAAATTTTCATTCAAAAATGATTATGAGGTTGGTTTGCAGAGAGCTATTTAGTGAGAGGGTAGCTAGCTTCCTTTGAAAGAAAAATCTGGTAAAACTGAAGAGGGAGGTCATGGCTGAAAACTCCAGCAGCGTCTGAAAGGAAGAGTGTTTACCAGCGTTGACTCTGACTTCTTTTTAGTGATCCTGGTGCTGTCACTGAGGTTCCGAACAGACCTGAAGTCACAGCACGTGTGGAGTAATTGTGGGAGAAATGGAACGATGATACGAGAGTGCCTGGTGGCGGCTAACTTCCCATCTCCTTTGTGTCCTGAGGTCTAAGGGAAACTGAAGGAAAGCCGCTGTCGCTGTGAGCAGCTTGGTTTGGTTTTGATCTGGAAACGTTGTGCCACTCATTCTGAAGAACTTCTCTTTGCCATAGAATCTAACCAACTACACACTTTCTTGTATCACAGTAGTGAGTTTCTTCTTATCACAGTTAATATTTATTGGCTGCTTGCTACTGTTTGGAAATGTGCAAAAACACAAGTTTTACATACAGGATCATCTCCCCTTATCTGCGCAGCAGTTCTCTGAGGTGGGTGTTACCAGCCCCATTTCCCAGGTGCCACACTGACATCTGAAAAGGGTAATAGCTGGGAGGGTAACACAAAGCTAGTGAGGGGGCACAACCTCGATTACAGCCCAAGTACCTACATGACTTCAGAGCTTGTCCGGGCCACCTTAGGTGCTAGAATGTGGTCTGCCATTAGCTGATTGTTATTCTTGCCCCTCCACAGCATTATGGCAAGGTAAAATTATGTGACTTGTAAGTGTAGTTAAGCAGTAGCACAGACTGGCGTGTCCCTGGAATATTAATGACAACCAGAAGTTTATACAAATACATGGTCATAAGGGGCACTGTCTCAAATGGCATGTAAATCTCCTGATCTTATCTAGGGGTTGTGAAAAAGAATGTAAGAGAGCAGACGTCTAGGAGAGAAGAGTGAGCTTTCTCCAGGCTTTCTGCCCTGGGGGGTAGTTGAGTCCAATCCTAACCCATTATTTGTTCTGTTTCACACCCATGTGTGCCAAGTCTGTGTCACCATGGTGTCCTTAGGGTCACCAGTATGTTAATATTCTCAAAGGTCCAGCACAGCACCATTGTGGAAACTGTCCTCAGAGTCTCCACTGCCTCGCTGGCCAGTACCTCCTAATCCCCTGGGGTCTGGCTTATTTTCACAGAACTCTCTGGAAACACCTGTCAAGCAGTTCATAAACATTCTTCCTCTCATAACATCTCAGTGGCCATGCTTCACCTTTTTGCCATAGGTCTCTCTTCAGGTCGTGTGTTAACTATTCCTTTTCTTGAACTTTTCCACCTTCAGTATTACCATTTTCTGGCTCTTTTTCCTCCTCCCAGACTGTGGGTTTGTTTTGTTTTGTTTTGTTTTCATTTTTATGTTTGGCTTTTTTTTTATTTGCCAACTTTTTTAAAATTATTGTTGTTCAGTTATAGTTGTCCCATCTTTTCCCGTTGCTCTCCTCTGCCCTGCCTCATCAACTGTGTTTTTCAAGACTTAATGTGTCTACCTTACCCATGTTTCTCAAGGCTTAATATGTTTACCTTACCCATTCCATTTCCTTTCCATCTGGGAGAGTTCATTCATAGACGTAACCAAATGTTAGAGCAGAAAGGAACTTTAGCTATAAATCATCTTCATTTTGGAGATGACTTCATCTTTGACCTCTACATGGATGATTGCCACTCATTTTTTTTTTTTAAGAGAGACAGGAAAGGAAGGAGAAAGGGGGAGAGAAACATTGATGTGAAAGAGAAACATTGATTGGTTACCTCCCATTTGCACCTAGACTGGGGATTGGACCTGCAACCCTTCAGTTATGGGATGACACTCCCACCAACTGAGACACACTGGCCAGGGCTGGCCATTCATTCATTCTTTCAACAAATATCACTGAGGGCTTCTGAGTGCAAAGGATTGGTACCATGAAGGAACATCACAAGAGTTTGCAAGTTGGGAAAAGTGATGGGCCACGCACAGAAATAACCAACATACAAGGCTGGCTGTGAAGTATGAGAAGACAGGAACAAACTCAGAAATAGAACTATGGTGTTCAAGACAGAGACAGGTCTCAGGGAAGGAAGGGAGTGGGAAGGATACAGTAAAGAGGGCTTCATGGAAGAAGTGGCATCTGTGCTAGGCCTTTTGCCAGATTTGACAAGCAAAAAGATACCCTAGGGGGAGAGGCGGACCTGAACAGAGGCTTGTGGAAAGGAAAGCACTGTGTGGGAGTCCAAGCTGACACATCACTGAGCATGTGCTTGGCTTCTACACGAAGGAGCAGTGCGAGATGAGGCTGGGAAGGGAGGCAGGATGGGCCAGCGGGTGGAGGGCACTAAAGTCAGACTGGGCTTTCTCTAGTAGGCAGCAGTGGGACAGGA